TGTTGTTGTGTGTTGGTGTATGTGTTGTTGTTGTATGTGTTGTTGTTGTATGTGTTGTTGTTGTATGTGTTGCTGTTGTATGTGTTGTTGGGTGTGTGTTGTTGTTGTATGTGTTGTTGTATGTGTTGTTGTGTGTGTTGTTGTTGTATGTGTTGTTGTATGTGTTGTTGTGTGTGTTGTTGTATGTGTTGTTGTTGTATGTGTTGTTGTATGTGTTGTTGTGTGTGTTGTTGTTGTATGTGTTGTTGTATGTGTTGTTGTGTGTGTTGTTGTATGTGTTGTTGTTGTATGTGTTGTTGTATGTGTTGTTGTTGTATGTGTTGTTGTTGTGTGTGTTGTTGTGTGTGTTGTTGTATGTGTTGTTGTATGTGTTGTTGTATGTGTTGTTGTTGTATGTGTTGTTGTTGTATGTGTTGTTGTATGTGTTGTTGTGTGTGTTGTTGTATGTGTTGTTGTTGTGTGTGTTGTTGTGTGTGTTGTTGTATGTGTTGTTGTGTGTGTTGTTGTATGTGTTGTTGTTGTGTGTGTTGTTGTATGTGTTGTTGTATGTGTTGTTGTGTATGTTGTCGTGTGTATTGTTGTATGTGTTGTTGTATGTGTTGTTGTATGTGTTGTTGTGTGTGTTGTTGTTGTATGTGTTGTTGTATGTGTTGTTGTGTGTGTTGTTGTATGTGTTGTTGTTGTATGTGTTGTTGTATGTGTTGTTGTTGTATGTGTTGTTGTTGTGTGTGTTGTTGTGTGTGTTGTTGTATGTGTTGTTGTATGTGTTGTTGTATGTGTTGTTGTTGTATGTGTTGTTGTTGTATGTGTTGTTGTATGTGTTGTTGTTGTATGTGTTGTTGTATGTGTTGTTGTTGTATGTGGTGTTGTTGTATGTTGTTGTATGTGTTGTTGTTGTATGTGTTGTTGTTGTATGTGTTGTTGTTGTATGTGTTGTTGTATGTGTTGTTGTGTGTGTTGTTGTATGTGTTGTTGTTGTATGTGTTGTATGTGTTGTTGTATGTGTTGTTGTTGTTGTGTGTGTTGTTGTTGTATGTGTTGTTGTTGTATGTGTTGTTGTTGTATGTGTTGTTGTTGTATGTGTTGTTGTTGTATGTGTTGTATGTGTTGTTGTATGTGTTGTTGTATGTGTTGTTGTTGTATGTGTTGTTGTTGTATGTGTTGTTGTTGTTGTATGTGTTGTTGTTGTATGTGTTGTTGTTGTATGTGTTGTTGTTGTATGTGTTGTTGTTGTATGTGTTGTTGTTGTATGTGTTGTTGTTGTATGTGTTGTTGTTGTATGTGTTGTTGTTGTATGTGTTGTTGTTGTGTGTGTTGTTGTATGTGTTGTTGTATGTGTTGTTGTGTATGTTGTCGTGTGTATTGTTGTATGTGTTGTTGTATGTGTTGTTGTGTGTGGTGTTGTGTGTGTTGTTGTGTGTGTTGTTGTATGTGTTGTTGTATGTTGTTGTATGTGTTGTTGTGTATGTATTTCATCAGTTATCATTATCATTTCATCATTAGGTGTTGGCTGGTGTATATGGTGGCCGGAAAGATGCTCAACCGAAAACTGCGCACCAAAATGTGCACAAGGGCATTTTTTTTTCTAAATTCGAACAATTTATAGACATTAACAAAGAAGGAATATATGTACATTGTAGCATGATAAAACATATTTCTACGAAATATGACAAAATGAACGTTAATTGGTTTGTATTTGCGCATTTTCTGTTTGCGCATTTTTTGGTTGCGCAGTTTTTCGATTGCGCATTTTTCTGGGAACCGAGTATATTGGTGTATATAAGATATGTCAGTGTTAATCTATTACCTTTATAAGTTTATATATAAACTGTATTTTGGTTATACGGTATGATTACATAGTGTTGATGTTACATGTTATGTAAACATTGTTTTGGTTATAGATGTATGTAAACATGCTGTTTTTGTTATAGATGTATGTAACAATTTGTCTAGATTGGAGGAATAAAGGCAGCAATATAAGGAGATCAAAGGCAAGAACAGTTCTTTGTTGTGTACAATAGAAGCAGACAGAGGGTGGGGGTGGGGGGTTTGGAGGGTTTGTAAACATTGGGGGTGAGTTATTTATAGACGTGTACAAACATCGAGGTTATGTGTACACACATGTAACGATGTTACAGTTAACATTTGATTATCATGTACACAGTGTATTTACTGTGTACGTAAAATATGTTTGTATGAGCACAAGATGTACATAGGTGTGTGTACAAGAAGCTTCGTACGATTTATGATGACAAAACATGATTGAAAAAAGCTACGACATTTCGTCCAGATCATTTTGACAAGTTTGAGTTAACCCTTTGGTAACCAATGTTTTGACAAGTCTAAACATAATTTTCACATTCGACAAAATTTGGCTGGCAAAAATTAATTAATTAATTAAACACCAATAGGACACGATTGTCATCTCAAGCCGTAATTACAATGACATGTTCATTAATTTACTTTAAAAACATAATGACATGCTCATTAATTTACATTAAAACACAATGAGTGCGATAAGCTATAATGCAATAGTTTCTACTCGCATGGGACAAAAATACTGACCAATAGAATCACAGACCAATCAAATCGCTGACAAATGAAATCACTGATCAGGAAAGTCACAGACCGATGAAATCACTGACCAATAGAATCACTGACTTAAAGAATCACTGACCAATAGACTAATTGATTGAAACAAAATGAAAGATAAAAAATTGATCAAATAAAATTTGATATCCACCACATAAACATCTGATTACAATTTCTATCCGTGACTGATTACATACAGTCACAAATAAATTAACCAGCCGCTAATTAATCGACCAGCCGCTAATTAATCGACCAGTCGCTAATTAACCGACCTGTCGCTAATTAAACGACTAGCCGCTTATATCCCAATCAGCCCACCCCTAACCAACAACTAATTAAAAAGAAAATCACTGACAGAGAAACTCTTCACACGAGTGACAACAAGAAAAATATACTGTACACTAGGTTGCTAGTGTTAACGATTGAGACAAAATGAAGTAGCCATTGTTAACAATTTAGACACTATGATATGAGCTATTGTTAACAATTTAGACACTATGATATGAGCTATTGTTAACAATTGAGACAATATGAAGTATCCATTATTAACACTTGAGAAAATGTGACGTAGCTATTGTTAACAATATACACAAATGATGAATTCAAAATAAAAAGTGCATGTGACGTAATTATCGTTAGCAATATAGACAAAATGACGCAATAATTGTTAACGATTTTTACGTTGCAACATAGTAATTGTTAACAATTTATACCTTGCAATATAGTTATTGCAACCGATTAAGTGAATATAACATGAATATGACGTAAGTCATTGATTACAATTTATACGTTGCAACGTAGAAACTGTTAACAATTTCGAGTATGTGACGTAGTCATTGTTAACAATTTAAACAATGTGGAGTAACACATTGTTAACATTTTAACAAATGCCATAGGGGTATTTTAACAAATTCCATGACAACAATAAAAGGTATTGGATAATTTTTATCAAAACAACAACAATTAAATTTTTAAAAATGGCGAACCAAGGGAAGTATCGAAGTAAATAATATTACTAACACGAGTATCCGCACTTGCTTAAAATGATTTTTAAATTTTTTAAATAATGTTTCATTTAAATTTATTCGAATTATATTGTCAATATTTCAGGACAGTTTTAAAATTTAATATTTTAAAATTTTAAGCTTAAAAAATTCATGTATAAAAGTGTGTGAATTTTTTTTGTTATTCGACTACCACCACAGGCTATTTCAATGTGTACAACCCTAACTCTGACCCAAGACCTGACATGTGACTTTTGTCAAACATCCAACATGTCATTTGTTGACAATGTCCAACATCCAACATGTCATTTGTTGACAATGTCCAACATCCAACATGTCATTTGTTGACAATGTCCAACATTCATGTTACCCGTTGAACAGATCCCATTGACAATTTAAACTATCGTTTCTCTAGCAAATGAACCCCCCCCCCCCACTCACCCTTCTCCCGTCAAGTGTAATGGCTTCTGAGACAGCCCCCCCCCCCCCCAAAATTATCTATCACAGTATGCTGGCACTAAAGACATGACAATCTGTCTGACGTCACTAATCTGACAATCCAAGGGACGTAACCGTGTAATTTTGTTTTTTCTAAAAAAAAAATGGCTAAACCGGTCGGACAACGTTTGCAAACAGCTATTTAAAAAATAATTTAGGTCATCCTGAAGTAGTAGAATTAAAAAAATTCATGTCCAAAATTTGGTTTTTTAGATGGCGGCTAATTTTAAGGAAAAAAAATCATTTAAATAAAAACTCAATTAAAAAAGAAAGTTTTTTTCGTCATACAGTCTTTAAAATGACTTGTTTTATTATTTTTTTTTTTTGAAAAACTGAAGTACAAAAACTGAGGTGAAAATAGCAGCGGCCATGTTTGAAAAATAAAGTAAAAATAAAAACGGAATTTCCCTCAGTGACGTCATTATTCTATGCTGTAATCACGATCTAAAGTACTGAAGTACCGTTTGTTGTCCAGTTGGTATGGGAGGGGCTGGGGTGGATGGGGTAAAAATTATGATGTGACACAGGGGTGTGTGTGGTGGGGGGTGGGGGGGGGGGAGGTGTGGGGGGGGGGGCAGGTTGGGCTGGGTTTTACAACGACCATCAGTCCAATGGGTACACTTAGTATTGTGTACAGAGGGAATACATTTTTACACAGCAAGAATGTTTCTGCAAAATGTCTTCGTCAGCTATTGAACATAATCACTGAATTGGGATACTAGAAGATAATTATATATATATATATATATATATATATATATATATATATATATATATATATATATATATATATATATATATATATATATATATATTTATTTATATTTATATTTATATATATATTTATATATACATATTTATGAATGTTTTTTATAATGTTATTGTGTTATTATTTATAACCTTGACCACGTAACATTGAAAAACAAAACGTAACTTTAGTTACACGCCATCTACTAAACATAACTGAACAAAGGGGAGGTAACGACTACATAACAAGGTATGTTGCTTCAACATCCGGGTTATCCGCCCCTCCGTTCACGTCCCGGTGTGCTCCCTCTGCTTGCCGCGGATGTACCCAGTCTGACGCGACGCCCGCATGGAAGACGCCGACGCCCCTTGCTGAATCTCCGAGTCGCCGTCGCCCTCGCCTTCCCCGTCCGCGTCGCCAAGGTTACCGCTGTTGTATTCGTAGGAGCGGAAGTTGAAGAGGTCCTCTTGGGATTGCCTCCCCTCGTCAGCGCTCCCCTCTTCCTCCGGTACGGGGATGAGCCGCCGCTTGTCGTCGAACGGGCCCTGGGGCCCGAACCTGCGGGGAGGGATAGGGGCGTAAGGCCTGTTCAAAAGACAGTTGGATCAATAGAAGCTCCACAGCTGGTCACGCTAGGTTTGGGATCTACAGGGTTAAACACGGGATATTGGGTGGGATCTACAGGGTTAAACACGGGATATTGGGTAGGATCTACAGGGTTAAACACGGGATATTGGGTGGGATCTACAGGGTTAAACACGGGATATTGGGTGGGATCTACAGCTATGTAAGGGTTAAACACGCAGCCTTATGTACACTGGGTAGGAAGTTATTGCAAGTAACCAATCTGTCGACACATCCAATCTAAGAGCCGGGTTACTTGTAACTCTTTGGAGGGATTTGTTCGGGGCCCTTTATATTTATATGGGCCAGTTACTTGGGAGCTCATCTCTGTTTAAATGAGCCTTTTTAGGGGCCCTTTTATATTTATATGGGCCAGCTACTTGGGAGCCCATTTATATTTAAATGGGCCTCTTTCTTAGGGGCCTTTTTATATGTATATGGGCCAGTTACACGGAGGCCCTTTTATAGGAATAGAAACCACATATCTCGGGCAATTATCTTAGAAAAAACAAACTGACTAAAAAATAAAATGAGCTGGGCTCAATGCTAGGTGCACGTGAGGTCCACACGTGCATTTTCCTGACCCTAATCACCCCCCTCATGACACCACCTCACATCCCCTCCACACATGTCTCTATACACACACATCCACATCACAATCCAACACACCTCTCCCCCCCCCCCCTTACATGTATGCCCGTGGGTCGCCCCGTGGCTCCAGGGTCCTCATGTCAGGCTGTACCTCCACACCCACCCCCCACCTTCTCACCCCCCTTACATGTATGCCCGTGGGTCGCCCCGTGGCTCCAGGGTCCTCATGTCAGGCTGCACCCCCACCCCCACCTTCTCACCCCCCCCCCTCACCCCCCTTACATGTATGCCCGTGGGTCGCCCCGTGGCTCCAGGGTCCTCATGTCAGGCTGTACCTCCATGGCCGTCAGGCCGGGCTTGGCCAGGTCGTCGTAGCTGATGGCCGTCTCTTCCAGGGAGTCCAGCCGTCTGGGGAGGTCAAGGTCACAGAGGGTAAACAATGAATAATGAGGTACACAATCAAATGTCGCATGTTGAAATCAAGGGAAACAAAGGTCACGTTGTTTAAACCATCGGACACAAATAAACGTTTTAAAACCATCAGACAATAAAATTGACATAACCGTTAGAGTGCTCAAACAATAAAATCTTTTTTAAAAACTTGTGAATTTTCCAACAATGAAACAGGACAAATAAGACGTGATTTCCTTCAGAAAACACATAAAACAAACAAAAAAACAAACAAACAAACCAACAAACAAACAAACAAACAAACAAACAGGTAGTCTATAGCCAAGACAGTGAATACTCGTTTTTTCAAGCCGGGAACCGAATTTCTTTCAGGCATCTCTTCGGGGAGGGTGGGGGAGGGAACCGCCCCACCCAAGAAGCACGTCTACCGCCACCCCCTCCCCTCCTTAACGAAATAGAATTTATAGACAAAATATATGCTTTAACCAATGTCCGTCCCCGTAGGCTTGAAGCACCTCACCCTCCGCAAAAAATGTCTGAAAGAAACACTGGGAATATTCTTAGCTCAGGGGGGGGGGGGTAGAGCAGCAAAAGAAACTGGACAAATATTTTCGGACAACCTAACGGCTAGTGGTCGTCGGGTCGTTACCGAATCAGGAAAATGAAAGACCACGTCTTTGGGTTGGGGTTTATATTCGTGCCTATTACCCGCTATCTCTCGTACTTTATGTTGCTGTCAGTCTCTAAGGGGAGAGAACTCCCAATGAAAACTTTAAAAACAAGATGATAGTTCTGGGGTAAATGCCAGGGGAGATCATCGCGTCTGTCAGAGCAGATACTGACGTAACAGGGGAGGTAACCGCGAGGGAATTCATGCTATTACACGGTGATTAGCGGTGTCTGCCCCTTTTCGCCATCAATTCTCGTTTTGTACTAGAAGACAGCGGTGCTGTTGGTTTTTTTTTAACTGATGGAGGCAAAGGGATCCATTGTTTATAGTTTGTTACATCGTTGTTGTTGTTGTAGCTTGGTACAGGATTGTCGCTGTTCTCACTATCTGATAAAAGGGCTGTCATCGTTCTTATTAATCTTTTTTTCTGAGGAAGGGTTGTCAACTGAGTTTCCTTCGGGCATCTCTTCGGGGGGGGGGGGGGGGAATGGAGTGGGGATGGGGGGTGGGTAGGGGGGTGGGGGCAACAAGTCCACCGCCACCTTCCCGATCGCAATCGAAACAAAAATTATAAAAAGAATAGAAACAAGCCCCCCCCCCCCCCCTTGGGATTGGGTAACTACAGCACCTAAAGTTTTAGGCAAGGCCTATAACTCATCATCACATTACTGAATGTCTTAACCCTACACATTTTAACTAGAAACTTTCAAACAAAAAAATGTGCTAACAATTGCCAGATTTTTATAAACTGGGTTAATCCAGCTGTCAACAACAGCAGGAGCTGATACATTTCACGGACTTCTCTTCCCGCCAAATTTAAACGGAAACAGGAAGTGACAGCAAGCGGACAGGTTTGTTGGGCTGGAATGAAAATTCTGATTGAAAAATTGATGTAGAGGAAGAGGTGAACGGCAGAATATGGTGTTGTGTTTAATATTGTGTTTAATGTTGTGTTTAATGTAGTGTTTAATGTTGTGTTTAATGTAGTGTTTAATGTTGTGTTTAATGTTGTGTTTAATGTTGTGTTTAATGTTGTGTTTAATGTTGTGTTTAATGTTGTGTTTAATGTTGTGTTTAATATTGTGTTTAATGTTGTGTTTAATATTGTGTTTAATGTTGTGTTTAATATTGTGTTTAATGTTGTGTTTAATGTTGTGTTTAATGTTGTGTTTAATGATAATGTGGATTGTGGGCTGGTTATGTTGAAGGTAGTGTGGATTGAGGACTTGGATTGTGTGAGTGGATTGTGTGTGGGTTGTGTGGATGACTTGTGTGGGTGGGTAGTGTGGGTGGCTCATTTGTGTGGATGAATTGTGTGAGTGAATTATGTGTGGGGATTCTGTAGGTGGGTTTGTAGCTCGTTTATAAGTGGATTGTGTTGATGTGTTGTGTGTGCTAAAAGGATATGTAATAAATAAGTATATATACTACTGGATAATCGGATATAGTAACATAAAATAGAGGCGAGATTGTGGATTATTTCCCTCCACCTAAACATCAATTTTTTGTTTCATTCGTTCATCTCTCTATCGCTTTCATCCTTTCTCCGTGTACTGGGTATCCAATCACACACCGGCCGCTCTGTTCTCGTCACTGAGACACGTGAGATCGCGAGAACTGAGGCCGCGAGACGTGAGATCGCGAGACATGAGAGTTGGTAATGCGTAGATCACTGTACTAAGGACTTAAGGAGCATACGAGTCTCGGGATATTCATTACATGGATTTTTTTATCAATACATCTTGTTTAAGCTTATACCTACAAGTTTAGCTTTAGCTCAGGGTTCATTTAATTGTAGAGTAGCTACACTTTTCCTACACTGGGGCGGAAATAAAACTTATTTATGGAAAAAGTTTGTCGCTCGGGGCGGACACCCCCTCTCTCACCCCCTAGCCCCGCCAATCACCGGAAGTTGAAATCTTGTACACGTTTTCACAGATGGTGTACGGCTAATCAAAAGATTCTCGTCGTTCTAGATTAGAAGAGTCGTAACGTTTAATCAGAACATGACGTCTGAAAGTTTAAGATACCACATAAAAACATGACGTCAGTAGGTTTAAGATACCACATGAAAAGATACTTTGAAACAGTTGATTTGAATGTCCTATCGTATATCCTGATTGAATCCCCTATCCGTATTGTCCTATCGGTTTGTCCTGATTAAATGTCCTACCGGTATGTCCTATCGACGTTTTCTGCTTGCTTGTCCAACAGCGATACCGACATTTTGTAAACCCCAGTGCTTTAACCCCTCCCCCCCACCTCCACCCACGAGAGACAACTGACAGTACGATCTGTCAGCCACTGACAGCAGACGACCAACCAAACAGAAAATTTCACGAATCACGAAACTAAGTGGTCAGACAAGGGAAACTACTCCTCTTTGTTTTTTACTCAGCCGAGGGCAGACGATGGCGCTGCTAGTCTGACGTCGGCGTGGGTGGGTTGTTGGCAGACGTGGTGGGGGATGCGGCTGGTGTCGGCGTTGTTGTCGTTGTTGTTGACGTCCAGCTTACGCCCTCGCTCACAAAATCCCCTTAACGACAATCCATACCCACCTCCGCAGTTTTATTTATAGAAATTCAACCTTGACCTATATCAGCTTGACCTTGAGGGTTGTATTAACAAACACAACGTTATTTTTAAAAACAAAATGGCGACTATAATGGCGGCTAGATTGGCTACAGCTGAGCCAGATGTCAGAGAGGAACCCGTACACATGTGCTGACGTCACATCCTGACCGTCGGGGTTGAATGACACGTGACGGAAGTGGTTTTACAAAGCTGACGAAGCTAGTGTGGGTGTGGAAAGTGGGGGACTAAAGCCCCGGGCGTCTTGTAAGCGTGGGGCGCTAATAAGAAATTATACGATGGCCAGAAACATTCAATTTTTTAAAGTGAAATCACCAACAGCATCTGGCGTTATATAAATGAAAAATGCAGGGCAGAAAAATGCGCAACGGAAAACTGCGCAAATACAAAAATTGCGCAAAGAGAAGACTGCGCACTCAGAAAGATGCACACACACAAAAAATCACACCAAAAAATAATTTCGCACACAGAAAAGTCTTCATACAATGAGGATTATCACACTGTTGTGCAGTTATGCAGTCAGTGTATGAGTATGCAATTTCTTACTTGTGCAGCGCTGGCTACTTGGCTACCGAATAGGCTACCGATTATGTCTAGTGTCAGGCTAACGATTATGTCTAGTGTATTGTAAAGACCTAAAGACCTTAAAATTGTGCCACTAGTAATTTGCTGACTAATTAAACTACAAAGCTACCATTCATATGCTACATCTGCCCTATAAGCCCAATGTGAAGCCACAATTGTGTTGAATGATAAAATATGTAAGAAAATTCTGACATTTAATTTATATTAACATAATTTATGTACCAATATACATATAGCCTTTGTGTCAACATACACATAGCCTGTGTATCAACACACTCACACAACACATGTGTTTCCACGAAAACCAAAATTTCTACCAACAAGACGAGAGCCTGTACCACACAAACATAATTTAACCAAATATCATCTGAAGCTGAAGATCATCTAAGAACAACAACTCTCGTATCCGCCATCTTGGTGACATTACTTTGCGCAAGACTTAATTTTTCGTGTGAATATTTAAAAAAGGGAAAACAGTTTTACTTTGGTTTTTTTCCCCCATCGCAGAATCTAATGACGTCTTAACAATAATTACCCCTGCTGAATAATCTACGTGTGCAAACCCTTCCACACACTCCCCCACACACTCCCCCACATGCTCCATGACCTCCCACACAAGCCACCTCCCCACCAGCTTACTGACCCTCACCTTGACCCCAAACCACACGTTTCCTGACATCCACACGTCACCCCCACCAATACAAACACAACCCTCATCACTCACACTTCCCACACACAACCCTCATCACTCACACTTCCTAATCCTAACCCTACACACACTCCACCCCACAACTACACTCCATCACCCACACTTTCCACACACAACCCTATAGATAAACGACACACCAACCACACACCAACCACACCCTCACCATCGCTTTAAAGATAATCCCTTTATCAAGCCTCCCCCTACAACCGTATTATATCCCCACCCTCTACAGCCTCCCCCACCCACCCTCACCTCACCACATCCTCTACACCCACTCCGACACTGAATCCCAACAAACGACACCTCCAAATCCCCTCAAACACTTTAGCACCTACAACCACCTCTACACCCCCACCACCCACACCCCCACCCACACACTTCACACAAGCCCTAAAAAATTCACAACTGTATTGACCAGACAAAACCTCTTGACCAACAAAC